GGGGGGGGGGGGGGGGGGGGGGGGGGGAATTGACATTTTTCAAGAAACCACCTTTTTCCGAGTTTCAGCTGCCAATATTTCATCGTCCTTCAGAAAAAGGGCAAGTTCTTCATCTTCAGCAGCTTCTGCTGCAGCCGCGATAGAATTTTTTGTACTATGAAGGTATTCTGCTCTAAAATATTTTGTCCAAAAGTCTTTCTCCGACATCTGTTTTTATGAGGAAAACAATAATGTATGTTTGATTAACTAAATTACCTCCATCACATACAAGGTTCAAAGAAACAAGAAGGAAGTGGAAAAATTAGTTCCTATTTACAATATCAGTACTACCTTATTGGGAACATGATTAAGGAATGCCTGGTGAACAGCTGGTTTCAGAGCAAAAATCTGAATGAGATAAACAAGAAATACAATATTAAAAAGAGTGTTAAAAAAATGATGGCACTTAGTATACTATAATTCTACACACAGAGTGACGCAACACAGACCAAAATGTACAAAGTTGGAACCAATATCAACTAATACATAAAAAAATTAAAAAAAAAAAAAAAACTAAACACTTCTTGGATAAGAGATGACAAACCAAATTATTAAGCACGCATGAAAATAAAATGAAATGAAGTGTGAGCCTTAGTGAGCTGATGCACACAATATACAAAAAAAAAAAAAAATCTTTATAGAAAAGGTATAATAAAGTGAGGCTTAGAGAGTTGAGGCATACAATGTACAAAAAAAAAATTAAAAAAAAAAGATAAATCAAAGTAATATAGTGAAGCTTTTTTTATATCTAGGAGACAATGAAGAAAGCCCGAGAAGAAACAACTTAAGGGCAGGGGTAGAAAGAACCCCCTCCTCCCAAAGAGGCTACTTACAAAAAAAATCTTCCAAGAAAGTGAGGAAATGTATGGAGAAAAAGGGGGCAAATGAGAGAAAAGGGCCAACAAAGAGTGATAGAAAGATGTAAAAAGAGAGTGCAGAAGTTTTGGAGTGACAGAGAGTCAAAGAGCGAGGTAGAGGTAATAAAAAGAGGGAGCAAGAAAGAGAGGCCGAGCACGAGGAAGAGGTACTAGAGTGGGAGACAGAAATAGTGAGGAGAGGTAAAGAAAGTGAAGAAACAAAAGAGAGAGGTGTCCTGGGGAGAACCTTAGCCAAAGGTTNAAAAAATTTCCAGTTAAAAAAAAAAAAAAAAAAAAAAAAAAAAAAAAAAAAAATTGTGGTCGGCATCATGCTTAAAAAAAAAGTTCTAGGTGCTGCAACCAGACTATAAAGAAAGTGGGTTGCACCCCACCTAAGAAGCAAGCAAGAGTGATGGCAACATGTAAATAGTCCATCAAGCTTAATATGGGATCAAGTCAAGTGCAAAATGCAACTAAAGAGAATGATGAATCACAAGCCCAAATTTGAGTAAAATATTGAACTAAGACAATAAAAGAGAATAATATTGAGGGTGAACTGATGAGAACATTAATATGTTAACTAGGAAAGAATGTCACAAACCAAAGTCAAACATGGATCGGAATTTTTGTACAAGTGTAGGTGTTACAAGGCTTGTTTCGAAATTTGCTGGAAAAGTCAAAGACACCGGGAATATCTCTCCTCAATTATACAGCCTAACCTAGCCAAGCCCTCTTCACTAATAAGCTCCACACCAAAGCAATGATGCACCAGATCCAACCCAAACAATCGAGAGTTGTAGATATCTCGCTATCACATTTCATCCCTCACTCTCATGGCTCTAGAACCATCTATTATAAATATTTTCATTTTGACTAAAGCCAAATTTTGAAACTGATGCGCTTTCGAGAAGGGTGAAGCAAAATTTGGCTCCCTTCATTTTGATCAGCAGAAAGTGACCTCACAACACAAAGCATCCACAAACAGTCCTTGGAACTACATTCTTAACCACAGTGACCTTATTTCACAGTCACACACAAAATAGGAGATGACAAGACAACTTTCTGGAATGACCAATGAATTAGTGACAAGCCTCTCAGTAGCCATTCTGGTCTAAACACTTACGTTAGGTTGCAAAAAAGAAACCCTTGGGCATATCTCTCACCAAATTGAAACAGTCTTTGCAAGGAAACAGGGGAGACACAAAGTCACATCTTTATCTATTGCTCATTCCCGAGAAAATTATGGGCTGATGTCTTGGTATCTTTCCGGTAGAGTATTGCCTGCAAAATCTCATGAATGGCTTCATTTTCTGCTGATTGATCATCCCTCCAAGTCTACGAAGAGAACTTTGTGGTCCTTCATTGTGATGGTTGTCTTAGGGAAGATACAGAATGAAAGGAACTCGAGGATTTTCCAAAGCAGAGAAAGCTCCTCGATGGAAATCTTTGAAGCCACTCTTTTTTACACTTTGTATTAGTGTAAACACAGGACTCCTTTTAACAGCTACAGCTTGAATTCTCCCTCAACAAATTGGAGAATTCTTTTGTTATGCCTTTGGATGGGTCTTACCTGTTGTGTCATTTGATTTAATCAATGAAATTGTTGCTTATTCAAAATAATGTTTTATAAGAGACAATTTCATTGATGATTGAAATTTACAAAAGGGATGTATAATCCATGGCGTTCACAAAAGATCTTCCCAATTTGCAATGAGGGAGGTATAACTATAGGAAGTAAAAATATTAGACAATTTACCCCAAGATATAGCTGGGTAAACAACCTTGTTGAAAAGTTGTGTAGGTCTGTGTTTTTTCTGTAGATATTCTCTAATTTCTTTCTTTTCACAGATTCCAAAAGAAGGTCATGATGAGGTTTTCCATAATAGGGCTTTTGCATTTTTGAAAGGGTGGTACATTAAGGTCATATACAAAAATTCTAAGCGTATGTGCATTGCATAAACAAGTGGCTTTGTGATTTGTTTTCTTTCTTGCATAATTGACACCAATTTGGAGAAAGAGTGATGTAAGGCGTTCTTTTTTGGAGATTTTCACTTGTGCTAATGGCTTTATGCGCTATTTTCCAACGGAAGAACTTCACCTTTTTAGGCTGATGTCCTTTCCAAACTATCTTTGCTAGCGGGAGATTTATTGTTTCTACTTTTTCCCTCATGTCCATCATCAAAGATTTTTTAGAAAAAACCCCGTCAACGTTGGGGAGCCAAGTCAGCGAGTCTGCTTTGTTTGACAATATCACAGGGGCAAGGTCAAGGCTTAATTCGGCCCATTCCGTTGCTTCATTATCCTTTAAATTCCTAAATTCCTACCAAGCTTCAGTAACACAAACTACAACTTAAATATTCTCATAGTATTGACACAAACTACAACTTACTTGATTCAGTAACAGGCCTATTTGACTAATATAATTAAATTTCAAACCTATTTGAGTTACCTGCCCAACTCCATATCAAAATCCAGTAAAGTAGGAACGTGTATGGGTATGTTCAACTTTTCGTGCATTTCTTTCCTATACACATTAACTTCCTCTAAAAATCTTGGAAGATGTCCTTGTACCATGGATAAGCCAACTTCTCCAATCTTGGTTTCAAATCATGTATCCAACTCACTAACCGCCTTCTAATGAGCTCTCGAAATTTTCCTTCTACGCATAATACATGCACACTAACACTATGCTAGTCCTACACACAGTACCCATGTTACCACCTTCCACATGTCATGTGCATGCTTGACCTGCTCATGCAGATTATCATGCCCACACATCTATTCACCACATTCGATGCCCAACATTTTTCTTGAGCCTCAATACCTTACCATAACAAGATAATAGCAACACTCATTATGAAATCAGATATAGTAGTGGTGTTCCATGATTTTAAACCAGAGTGACGCACAAATGAGACCTATGTCTGTCTGATACCAAAGAAGCATAATGCGACTAAAGGCTTGGATCATATTCCAAGAAATTGCCAGTTACTATTTGGAAGTGTTGTTGGGCTACTTCTAGGACAAAGGAAGGGTCCTTTGCAGGCTTGTATTTTTGCTGTGTATATTTGTAGGGTTTGGAGAGGTCCTACATTGAGGTGTGGAATATTGTGAGATTTAACCCCTCGTTTTTGGATTTGGTGTCTCCAACTTTCCTTTTTTTTTTTTTTTTTTTTTTTTTTTTTTTTTTTTTTNTTTTTTTTTTTTTTTTTTTTTTTTTTTTTTTTTTTTTTTTTTTTTTTTTTTTTTTTTTTTGAAGTTATCAGTTAGGTTTTATTCTCCTGAATTAGAGTTTAACTTGGTTTTAGTACTCCTTTGTGCGGGAAAATTATTTGAGGAAAAGAAAAACCCCTAGAAGATACATAATGTACAAATTCAATTGAATAACAAAAGAACGAAGAAAAAAACCCTCTTTTCAACTAAATTCCTTTGTTAATAGCTTGAATTATTTCTAAAGGATTATAATAAAATTGGAGAGTGAAAGAAGGAACAAAGAATCAAATCATGCCTGATATTTGATCTCCGGTGTCAAATTAAATGTGACCTTGTTTGTCTGAAAGCAGAAAAAAGATAACAATGTTAAGTTCCAATGCAATTAAACCAAGCTGGGGGAAGGATTTGACAGATAAATATTAATGATTAACAAACTAGGTTTGATAGGGTAGGAAAAAGGTAATGATGCTGTACCCGACCATCAGACATTGGTTTGGTGTCCAAAACCATTGAACTCTTGAAACCAACCAACTGTTTTGACTTTGTGGAGTAGTCTCGTTCCAGTAATTTCTATATCAATCAGTTTAGATGATGTCACATTTTCTTCAGAATATATTTTTGTGAGCAGGATCACATTAAATATACAATCAAAATTCTAAAAAGAACGTCAACTTCAAATGCAGATTAAATAAAGGGAAAGAAGGCCCTCCTCACCTTCCTTGCTGCCCAAAACTCAGATTCGGTCAACACACCACCAATAACAAATTGTTTATGAAGTTTCTGCAGTTCACTGCAGAATAAATGATGGGATGAGAGTGTTGCATGCCTTACCTAAGCACAAAATAATAAAGGTAACAAATACTTCTTGTTTACAATGATATGGGTCATCAGTCTACCTATCTTCTTGCAAACATCTCATTCGAAGTTCCATTTCTGATTTACTGAGTTGTTCATGGGGAAATGTGGCTACAAGCTTCTCAGAGGGAGCTTGCGGAGCCTCTCCTGACTTTGCTAGAGCACTTCCTGGAGAAGGCACCAGATGCCAAACCATCAGGCTAGAAAATCCAACAAATACAGGAAAAAGAAATAAGAACAATGGCAGATAAAGAACAGAGAAATATTGCAAAAGCTATTTGAATTTTTTTTTATATAATTGAAATTTTATTGAAAAAAAAAAATAAAGAATACAAGGGCATCCAAAAAAACCAAGCCCAAAAAAGGAGGTCCAACTAAAGAAATAGACTCCAATCAAGTAAAATAAGACCTAACGAATAATTACAAAAAGCTTTCGCCACCAAGAGAAATTCAGAACCTAACATGGGGTCAAACATCACTACGTAACCTCTCAACCCCTCTTTAAAGGCTTTATTATTCCTCTCAACCCACAAAACAGCACAAACTCCCACTTGCCACAAAAAAAAAACTCCCCTTCTCTTAAAAAAAACTTCTCGATCATCTCCCTATAACCTCTGTGTTTAGCAAACTGAAAGCCAAACTCATCAAAAACAAGATTTCAAACAATCCAAGCAAACTCACAATTCCAAAGAAAATGACCAAGATCTTCTTCCGCTCTATGACAAAAAGTGCAACAAATTGGCCTGATCATAATAGATATTTTCCTTTGCTTTGAATTTCTCCATCAGCTCGTTCTTTTTTGCCTATCGAATGTGATGCTCTACAAAGTAGACATCTCTCTTGAAAGTTGATCTGAAGTGTTAAACCTTACGTGGATGACTTGCCAAACACATAACTGAATCTTTTTTGGAATTTTCACCTTCCACATACACACAAAAAAATAGACCCAGGTCAAAGAGGGGATTCAAAAAACAATGTGAACGAGCAACAAGAAAACCCCAGTGGGATTAGGACTCGAAAGACAAAAATCTCTTCTCTCAAGTCTAATGATAGCCTCCCATATCAAAGATAAGAATCAGGGCATCTGTCATTTTCCTATCAAAGAACGAAAACCAGGCAAAAAAGAGAGAGCTTCTAGAGGAATCAGGAACTTTAACCGCTGAATAATTTTTTTTTCTTTTTTCGTTTCTTTTTTTTTTCCATTTTTTGTTAGGAAACAGAAAATTTTCATTGATATGGTGAAATAAATAATTTAGTCTTATCGTGAGGTAATTACAAGAAATTATTCCATTGCATAACGAGAGTAGATAAGCTGTAATTACAAAAAGGTTGTTGAAACTTTCTCCAACATAATGCTAAGAAAGTGATAGATCGAAAAAAAAGTTGAAAACTCATTCTACTTATCATTGAAGATATGACCGTTTTGCTCAAACCATAAGCTCCAAAAGAAAGCTCTCATGAAGTTCAGCAAAAGAGTCCTTTTCTCATCTTTGAAGGGATGACCCATCAAACACTCAATAGAAGAGAACCACTCAATAGAAGAGAAACGATATCACCTGGGCTAACCAAATTCCAGAGGAAAGTAGAGAGAATAAGGCTCCAAAAATCATTGGCGTGATTGCAGCAGCTGAAGGCATACATAAGGGCAGCATGATGGAGGGATCCAAAGCCAAGATTCTTCTAAAGAACATCTAGTGTGTTGATACTCGGAAAACTGAACTCCCATATGAAGAATTTTATCTTATTGGATAGAAATCATCAACTTTTCACAGACTGGTCAATAATCACCTAGTAAGGGAATTAGCTATGAAGGGTCTATCTTCTTTGAATGACCAGCACATTTATCATTATGACCAGTAAGCGAAAAAGACTCTAATAATGATGACAGTGAGGCCCATCTCACAGTCTCTGATTCCAGAAGGTTGTGCCTAAGAAGAGGTTTTAGACATTTTTATTGGGCATCCAGAGAGTCTTCTTTTCTGAGGGATAAAGTAGAAAGACAAGTGATGTAACTGATTCAATTTTTCATGGAGGATACGTTATATAATTGGGTAACAAAGACCAGAGGGGACTATCCCCCACCCATTTGTCCTCCCAAGTACAAATATTTCTCCCATCACTCACACAAGACCAAGTAATAAAAAAAAAAGGAGATCAAAGGAATATCTTTCCAAGGATTTCTATAGGTGCTTTTGACCTCACCCGCCACCACTTGAATGTATGTAGATAGTATTTACTTGTTATAATCCTTTGTTGAAAGGTATTAGACTCAAGGGGGAACTGCCGATCCATTTAGCCAACAAGGCTTTGTTATGAACCATCCCTTAAATTCCCAACTCTAGCCCCCCAAATTCACCAGCCTTACCATTGTTTCCAAAGTCACCAGATGCACACCCTTCCCTCCAAAAATTTATCATAAGCTTCTTAAAGGCTTTACTAACCGCGCAAGGGGCTCTAAAAAGGAAAAAGAAGTACATAGAAATTTCACTCAAAATCAAGCAAATGAGTGTCGATCTTGCAAGGAAAAGAAAAATAAAAACTTATTTTCCAGGTACCAAGTCTCTTGCACCCCTTTTCAATAACAAGCTCCCAAAAAGGAAGAGTTCTGGGATTATGCCCAAGAGGGAGGCCAAAATAGGATGAGGGGAAAGACCCCACCTCACAAGCTCACAGCCTAGCTATCCACCTGTTCGGATCAAAGACCAAACCTAAAGTTTGGCACTTTTCACAATTGATTTTAAGCCCCAACAAGATTTCAATGAAAGCTAAGATGTGGTTCGAGATGAGGAAAGACTCCTACTTGTCGAATGAGAAGAAGATAGTATCATCAACGAATTGAAGATGAGACAAAGGGACTCTATCTTTCCCAACTTAAGCCCTCAATATACTGCCATCTAACCTTCTCGAGACAATCATGGCAATAGTCTTCACTATAAGAGGAAAAGAAAGGGAGAAAGACGATTTCCCTGTATAAGGCCCCTTGAAGCTTGGATCCTCCCCTGAGTCTGTCATTAATGAGGATAGAATACTTAACCATTCTAATGCAACTCCAAACTCACAACCCCCAATTGTACCCAGAACCTTTCTTTTCTATGATCTTATCCAGGAAGTTCCAACTTCCACTCCACATGGTCATGGCTTTCTCAAAATCAATCTTAAGATGACTCCCTCTTGACCCTGATAATTCTCAGTCGCCACATTAATATTGAGGAATTTTCATTCCCTCCATCAAAAATCGTAGAGGGAAGGACCTTTTTTAACATGTTGGCCAAAACCTTAGCATTGAAGAATAGTATAAGTTATATGTGTTCCTCAAATCGAATTTAGATAGTAGAAATTCCTATGAAGAGATTCAAAAATCCTCCTTTACTCTCTCAAATCCAGGCTGATGGAGCAAAAACACGCAATGATTCCCGGTCTAGACTTCTCATTTATTTAACTTCACAACACTCCTACTTCCTTACTTTCCTCACTAACTTATTACTAGGTAATGTGCTTGAGGTGCCCTTCTAAAGCGAACTATAATCACATTCACCCTTTTGCTTCCCTCTGTCCTAATTGTCTTTCATGAATAGTTAAACCGAACAAGGGGCTTATCAAATCCATTGGAAACTTTCACAACTATTCACCATTTTTCAGATCAATGAAATGTTCTCACATAATTGCAAGCATCGAGAAAGGTAGAAAATTTCATTACAGCTTAATAAACAAGAATTGCTTATAATTATGGATACTGGCTTACCCACAAACTCCCGGCAAACATGAAGATCAGAGAAGTTTTTAAACTCAAAAATGTAACTTCCACCCTGAACAGTTGTAGCACGTCATTAATTGCCATCTCATAAGATAAATTAAAGACACTCACAATATGCAATGCTGAGATGATTTTTGAAATCGATATCTGAAGGGCCTTGATAAAATCAATTAAAAAATTCATCAATTACAAAGTACTTTCAAATAAAACTACTGAAAGAATAAGTCATCGAATTTAAAGATAAACTTGAGGGTGAGAATTATGAAATGGACTTCTTAAAACATACAAAAATTTGTATAAAAATTTGTCATTAACCTATCATTATATTTGATGTTCTATTCTAAGATCAAATTTACAATGATTTACTCATGGAATATTTCCAGCGCTCTAACTTATGGTGTCTTTTAGCCAACCATTTTAAGTATTCAAAACCTGGTCCCTGGTGAGATTAAGCCATGGTGGTTTATTTGATCCTTCCTTGGTGTTTTTATGGCCTGAAAAATATGGAAAAATTAGATACGACAAGATTACATACAAACATAAGGATGCACAGAGAAGAGGTTAAGGATGATAAACTTAAACATTAGTCGGAGTTTTAATGATGGAGAGTGTAAAGGGTAAAGAGTAAAGACTAATTTGTGATAGTGCTGACAATGCATAAGGCTACTGGAAAAAGATGTTCTTTACACAGCATAAAATTGTGAAACATCCAGGCAGTTCGATTCTATTTGAGAAAGGTGCTTAACATGAAAAGAAGAGATCTTTCCCCAATCAAACAACCTTGACAAGAAAAGATAAATACCAACATGACCACAAATATGGAAACAAAAATATATTGACCTGGCATGAATATAGTAGGTACCTTTAATAAATCTGAACTCCACGTCAAGCTTAGAAGCTGAAGTGGGGTCACTAGGTCTAAATACAAATTTGCGCTCTGTCTGCAGAAAATGAGAACAGTAAAAAAAAAATCAATTGAACAAATTATGTGGGTTAGTCAAACCTTAAATGGTTGAACCATTTACAGATGCAAATCAAAATATTTCTGAGCAAACACAAACCAAAAAGATGCTCCGCATTATCAGAATCATTAAAAAAAAAAAAAAAAAAAAAAAAAAAAAAAAAAAAA